AAGCCACATGACTTTAGTCGGCTAAGCGGCTGGATAACAGCTGACTAATTTCTACTTTTCAAAAATTTTAAGTATTTATCGTAATCCTAATTTCATGAATCATGTGACCTTTGGCCGCATTAGCTAGCCAACCATATTATTTTGACTTTAGCCGCGGTTGCCCTAGTGGCTTATAACACTGCGCATATCGAATTTCATGGCTATGTCATATAATTTATCGATAAATGTTTTGCCGTATTTCAGTATTTATCCGAAACTCCTTTGAAATCGTCAACATTGAAATTTGGGTTGAGAAGAACTCGGGGTTGATATCAGGATTTCATATTCTTTCGGATAATTTTTGATTGCAATCAAAGGGGACACTTTCGGTCGCTTTTTTTGGAGCGCGACCAGATTTATCTAATCCTTTTTGCTCCCCACGCTTTCGTGCCTCACAATAATTTAAAATTGTTAGTGCGATCACAGAGAGAAAAAGACAGTAGGCATACCACTAATGGCTGGAATGATGGCATCCTCGGATGAAGCTGGGCGAAAAACTACATTAAATGCTTTAAGATCACCGTAACAAATGGTTTCTATAAAGGGATCAGAGAATGGATTCTCTTATTTTCTACAATGATAGTTATGAGAGATATAACAACGAAGGTAATGCAATCGAAGAAAAAAATCAAATTTTCATGCTCTACGAACGGTAGATCGTAGTCTTCTCTCTGTGAATTTAGACGCTGAAGGTTTTATGTGGATCAGACCCGTTTCATCTTCTGAGATCCTAAAAATCGGATTGTTATCAAGGATCTTTTTTGAATGGTGGAAAATGCATTCGCGTTAGTAAAAAATGAGATAGGTTTGATACATGGAGGGATCTTGTATATGCACATTTATAAGTATACACGTAATATATATTAGTTATATATTTAAGATTATATATTTTAATATTTTTATTTTTAGAAAGTGTTATATAGTATTAGATATATAAAAAATTATACAAGTAAAAAAAAAAAATTAAAGTTTCTATGCTACGTAAAAAAAGTCTATATATACATTTGGCTTGTTTTTTTTTAATATCGCTTATGTTTATAATTTTTTTATATCATAATTAGTTTTTTGTAATGTTGCATAAAAATTAAAAAAAAAATAACATAAATTTTTAAATAACAATTTTCTGATTGCATAAATTTAACGAAAAATAATATCTTATAAAGCTTAATGTGTTAAATTTCATAAATATTAATCTTATAACGGTATAATTTTTTTTTTTAAAGTGAATAATCAAAACCCATTTCATAAGAAACTAATACATCATTTAAATAATCTTGATTTATTGTTGTGCTTAATGATTGATCATAAGATGTCTCATTGACCATGTTAAATACGTTTTGTGTATTAAAAATTTGAATTGTTTCTAAACTTTCATTAGAGAAATCAAAAATTCCAAGCCCATATTGATTTTCATTAATAGGAGATTGGTTTTCATCAATGAATAAAAAGTTATTTATTATATTTTCATTGACTTGTTGGTCTTGTTGAATTGGTAAATCTAAACATTGTGTAGAAGTTTCTAAGCCGAATTCAAATTCTTCAATCATATTGGGTGAGTAGCTACTAGAAATTGTTGATAAATTGGGACTTGGATAAACATTTTGACTATCAAAGTATTGTGCAGAAGTTTCCAAGTCAAATTCAAATTCTTCAATTGTAATAGGCGAGCAGTCACCAGAAATTGCTGATAAATCGGGGCTTGGGTAAACATCTTGACTATCAAAAAAATCGGCCCAATTTGCAAATAAATC